TGGAAATTGAATATTATATTTCAATTATTTTGTTTAGCTCGGATGGTACTTATGAATCCTTTTCTATCTTGATTGATAATGTTTCTAGTGGATTTAGCAAGCAGCTAGCGAAAATAGCTTTTAAAAGGGTTTTTATTGTTGCCAAATAGCTTTTATTGTAGCTTAAATACGGGTTTCAAATGGTTCTCAATTCGTTCGTCTTACAACCTTTTTGCAGTAAATCAATCTTGAAGTGCTTCGAAAATATACCCTTCAGAAGCTTCTCCAGGATGGGCCAACTAGACAGATTCTAGTCTTAATGAGGTTTTGGTGAATGCATCAATGGCAAAGTAGCCTTGACCAGGGTTTTATGAATGTTGTTTTATAGTAGTTTTGTATTACTTCATAAAACTTAAAATGTTGCTTCGGCTAGGATCAGTTTCATGAATTTACCACTTTTACGAATGGTTCGGGTCTTCCGGAGGACCAGACTTGTGACTTTTTGTATGCTAAGTTCTCACAAGAGGTGGTCAACTATCTTATTAATAACTTTTGAGAAGACACCACCCAAGTAACATTTTACGTTTTATGCAGTACTACAAGGCTACTATAAAACAACATTCATAAAGCACTGGTCAAGACAGCTTTGCCTTTATTACATCCCCTAAAACCTCATTAAGGCTAGAATCTGTCTAGTTGGCCCACTCTGGAGAAGGTTTTGAAGGGCATATTTTCGAGGCACTATAAGATTGATTTGCTGCAAAAAGGTTATACGACGAAAGCATTGAGAACCATTTGAAATCTTTATTAAAACTACATTAAAAGCCATTTAAGGCATCAATACTTGTGCCATTTGCCTTTGACGCTTGATCAGCGCACTAAAAATAAACCCGAGTAGCACACTTCCGTTAATAAAAGTTGCAGCAACTTGTTTATGACTGAAATAAGTCGTAAAGAAGTTGCTACAGCCGATATATGACAAGCGTGCTACTAGGGAAGGATCAATCAAGATAAAAAGGGATACATAAATATCATCCGCTTTTGTCAAATTCATTGTTCAAAAATAAATTTGTCAAAAATCCTCATGAATTTCATCACCATTAAATTGAAATAATTACCAACATTATCGAAACTCATATTGTGGTCTATTTTTTTTAGGTGACAAATTAAATCTTATGTGAAATGAGCTTCGGAAGATCGAAAAATATAAGTCCGCTTTCGAAAAACGTTGATTTGACAAAAAAAAATTAATTCAGGAAAAAAATATAGTTTTTTTTTATATAAATAATTGCGCCCAGTCGAGATAATTTGAGGATTTTCAGAGATTATGCTCATGGATGAATTGACGAAAATAAAGTTATTTTTAAGGAAAACCATCTTGAAAAACGAAGATAGTAAAAAAACAAATGGAATAATATATTAACATGGCGATTGCATAAACATTAATTTCCCATAATCCATTTGTGAAAAAGCTGTTTTTCTTACATGAAATCACTAACAAATGCAAACTATTTTAATGCTGCTTTTAAGACGTTAATTTGCATACTGAATTGTTTTATCTGAAGCCATTTTGCTTGATCCTATTCCGTTTAGTTTTATGAAGGCATTAATGGTGGCAAAGTTGCCTGGAAAAACTTAAATATGGTTCGGAAGGCGGCCAATTTCCAGCACTTTGACTGACAGCTTCTGAAGTTTCAGTCGGAAGTTTTCTCCAGTCCCAGTTTTACACTGCGGCAACGCTATTTCTGGAGAAGGCTGGTCTGTTTTTATTCAGAACGCGACGCAAACGCCATTGACAATATTTTGTGTATTCCCATAAATATAAAGTGTCAACCAGTGCTTCGTGAACCGCATTCACTTCACTCTTCTCAGTTGGCTGCTCTGTTATTTTTGACCGGTTTTGACGGAGCTGCTGGACATCCCAGGAAGTTCTGCAATTGGATTCTTTTTCCCTTCTGGAGCATTTTGTCATTACATCAATAAAAAAATACCGAGTAGGTTTATGATTGACTAACTTCACAGTTTATAAAGGGATAGAATGCTGCATTAAATTCATTTTTAAAACCAGACCCGTTTTGACTTTATCGGCAGACATTAAAAGGTTTTCAAAACAGCAAAATTCTAGACTGCTAAACAAGAATATGTTGCACTATTGAATGCTGTATTTAAACCAAAAAGATTGCGTTTGCCGTCATAAAACCAAATAAATCAGTGTGAAAGCCAAAAGGCTGTTAAATTGTTACATGGGCAGGAAGTTATCTTTTCAAATTACTCTCCAATCAGCTCTAATCTGCATTCGTTATTTCCAGTTCCTTTAGTACGGTCATTATTAACCGTACTATAGGAATCATGTCTGTTTATATTTTTTTATTGCAATGAGCCCATTTCAATTAGTAGTCTAGACTTATATTTCTTCTGGATAACTACAACGCCCACAAAGTTTCAATGGATTCTGAGATTCTCATTCCGCTTCTGATGATTCTTACCATTCAACTTGGCATCATATTCAAGTAAAATTTTT